ATATATATATATATATTAAATGTGGGAAAAAGTTCGTGTCGTTTTTTTAATGCCATCTAACGGGAAAAACGCCATGAATTTTTTCCCACTTAATATGACACAACGTGTGCGTTTGCATGTGTGTGTGTGTGTGCTGTGTGTGTAGGAGAGCTCCCTATTATGAGATAAGCACTTAATATGAGATAGCAGCATTTCTGTTAATAGACGCTATCTATTGGTTCCATCATGAATTTATTGCTCTTGGATTGAAAACTATTTAGTTGAAAATTCATTATTAGATGCCTATAATCATTGTAAAAAAAGATTTTAGAATTTGGATGCCTTCAAGTTTCATTGAGATGAACCTTTAAACATTGTTTATTATTTAATAAATAAATATTTGGCAATAAATTCTTCATGTAGTAATAGAATAAAGTCGTACTAATAGAAAAATACGGGAAATGTTGAATTGCTTAATTATAGAAGTTAGATTTGATTGTAAGGCATGGAAATCATAATAATGAGATACCTAGGATATTTTTAATATGGGATGAAATGCTCCCATGTCATAGCGAAAATCGTTGCTAAAGTATAAATGTTATTATACAATAATAAAAGGACAATCGGAATGAATCGAATGCCTATTTCTGTGATGTTTTATTTCAACTATCTGAAGACGAAACGTATAATCGCATACTCATTTTTCGCACCCTGTTTGTTTGTATTTAAGAAACATTAAATAAAGTTTTTTTAGTTACAATACTGATATACTCTGCATTTTATTATTGATTTCTCGGGGCATCTTATACTAGAAACACAATGTTTTGACTTTGCGATTTGCTCACTTTTTACATTTCTTTAATTTTCGAAAAAAAATGGAATTTCAATTAAATTTTATATAACATTATCTTAAAGCTTATTAAATTTCCTCCAAAGTGGCGTATTATTTTTTAAATTCTGCCCATAGACTTCTAACATTTATCCAAAAATGAATACGGTATCTCATAATAAAGATCTTTCCTCTATATACATGTTGTGTCATAGTAAAAATGTTAACTTTAGTAAATACAATTCTGTACACGGAATTGTAACTTCGGAAGTCAATATCTGTTGAACGAAGCGTTTGCGTTTTAGTAAATACAATTCTGTACACGGAATTGTAACTTCGGAAGTCAATATCTGTTGAACGAAGCGTTTGCAAACATATTTCCAGAGAAAAATTTTGTTTATTTTTAGGTCCTAAATTTATTTAAAATTTGGCTATTTAATACATCTTGTATATATGTATTATTTTAATTGACGCACTAAAATATCTCTTGAACAGTGCATTTTAGAGAAAAATGTTTCAGACAAAAATTATATAATTTGGAGGAGAACATAAGATGGTGCTATTGCTTTGACTTTGGAAAGTTGTTTGAAGGTCACATAAAGGTCATCATCAATTTCTTAAATGGAATCTCATATATTTCATTGCATATTCTTGTAGCTTGCTTCAAAAGCCTTCCAAAACATTATAACGAAATTATTTTTCATTAAGTACTTTTTGAATTATAAGGCTTCAAAGATACAGTACCATTGGCATTAGTATTATCCAAAGTGTTCGACCGACGATTAAAATCTCTTGAATGTTGTTTAGGACTAAGACTTGGATAACATTAGTTAAGATCAAGACCATTAGAAATTGTACCTCTTATTTACATTTTTATGTAGAAATTTTTGGTCGATCAAATACTTTGGATAATGCTGTACTCATTGCATAACTAAAAGTACTTAATGAAAAATATTTTCTTATAGTGTTTTGGAAAGCTCTCGACATCATCTATTAAATTCTGGAAACGAAAGTAAGGTATTCCATTAAAAAAATTGATGTGAT